ATAACTTTTATAGATGAAAAGATAACAGTGAAAGGTAAGGGTGAAGGAGCAAGTCTTAGTTTAGTTTAGTTTTATTATTATTTATAGGCCGCCCTTTTCCCTGAGGGGACTCAGGGCGGCTTACAAAATATAGGGAGGGGGGTACAAAACAGATTCACTAGCTTCCTATCGGGGTGTATATGGACATAGTGGCAAAAAGCACCCCCTCTTTGCGTGTGGAGCCAGTTTAGCGTAGTGGTGAAGGCGCTGGCCTATAAAACCAGGAGACTGGGAGTTCTAATCCTGCCTTATGCAGGAAACCTGGCTGGGTGACATTGGGCCAATCACCAGGAGACAATGAGTTCTAGTCCCGCCGTAGGCATGAAAGCCGGCTGGGTGACTTTGGGCCAATCTGCCAGGAGATTGGGAGTTCTAGGCCCGCCTTAGGAATGAAAGTCGAGGTCCAGCCCCGACTGAAATGAATGTATTTGTGTTGTTTTTTAACTTGTCTATTTTATTTTAATTTTCTTTTATTTATTTATTTTCTTTCCCCTCTCTGTAAGCCGCCCGGGATTGGGCGGCCTATAAATAAAATTAAACTTGAAATTTGAAAGCCAGCTGGGTGACTTTGGGCCAATCCGCAGGCGACAGTGAGTTCTAGTCCTATCTTAGCTAGGCTCGATCCTGTTTTTTTCTCAGCCAAGGGTTGCTATACAAAGCTGTCGCCAGCCAAGTACGAACAGCAAAAAAAGAAATTGGATAAAGGTAATTTTTTAAAAAATAAATAAATAATACTCTGCGCCTCTCCCGCCCACAGTCCTCCAAGATCCATCAAACGGTGTTGATCAACCTCCTGAAGAGTCTTTATTTTTTGGGAGTCAAACCCCAGCAGACGGAGCTGCGTTCGGCCGAGCAGGAGCTGCGCTGGCGCCTGCGTGAACTCTCTTACCGGCGCCTGGCGTCCTTGGCCACCTACCTGGCCACTTACATCCCTAAGGAGACACCTCACGAGCTGCTGACCGAGCTTTTCGCCCAGCTGGAGATGCGTTGGGCCGAGATCGCAGACGCAAACACCATCGCCATGCTCATGGCCAAACAGGGGTACCTCTCGCCACAGTTCCGGGAGCGACTGGAGGACAAGGTGATATGGCTTGGGGGGGGGGGGAATTCTGACGGATGTTTTGGGACCCGATTAGGCGATTCCATCAGTGCTGTAAAGATGTGGGATTTCTGGAAAGGAGTGGAAGGAAGAGGATGGAGGGGTCCTCCATGCTCTCTGACTTCGGCGGTCTTCTTGCAGATGTCTCATGACCGAACTGGGGAACATCATCAGTGCTGGAAGGGAGGGAAGGAGGAGGAACGGGAGAAATAGCCATACCAATAGCAGTTAGNTAGCCATACCAATAGCAGTTAGACTTATATACCGCTTCATAGGCCTTTCAGGCCTCTCTCTAAGCGGTTTACAGAGTCAGCATATCGCCCCCAACAATCCGGGTCCTCATTTTACCCACCCCGGAAGGATGGAAGGCTGAGTCAACCCCTGAACTGGTGAGATTTGAACCGCCGAACTGCAGATAGCAGTCAGCTGAAGTGGCCTGCAGTGCTGCCTTTAACCACTGGGCCACCTTGGCTCTTAAACAGTAGGCAAATCTTCCTTCTTCCAGTGTTGCGCCAACGCAGCAAGGTTTTGAAGAGGAAAACTTTTTTTTAAAAAAAGTTTTTGCACTCTGCAAACCTCCCGAAAACGGGCCTGCTTTTTTTTTTTCTTCAAAAGAAGGGCATGAATAGCCCTTAGGAGGCTTGTAGGGTGCTACTGGGGGCGGGGGCATTTCTCCCCCCCCCCCAGTCCCCAGGAGCTCTCTGAAAGCCTCCTTAAAGCCATGCATGGCCATTTTAGTGAAGGGGGCGGAGGCACTGCTGTATTCAGTGTATAAGACACGCCCGGCCTCTTTTTTGAGGGGAAAAGGTGCGTCTTATACTCCGAAAAATACGATATGAAGCTGAGTTTGAATTGGAACTCTCGACCCTGTCAGATGCCTTTTTCGTCCTGAAAGATGCTTGCCGAGCAAGAACGGATCTCTCTTGACAGAGAAATTTTAACACAAGGAGCTCACGAGCCTCTGGGTGTCCTGATAGGACACTGTATCTCCTGGTAGGGAATCTCTCCGGGCCAGAAGAAGGCAAGTTTAGATATGTACCTAGGAGAGTTCGGATTGGGAGTCTCAATCCTATCAGATGCCTTTTTCATCCTGAAGGACACTTCCTGGATGGAAACGGAGCTATCATGGCGGAGAAACTTTAACCCAAGGATGCTGGTTACCTTACATGAACTAGGATACAACTCGTCATCAGCTTTCTGCTCAACCAGGGGCCCTCTCTAATGTCTTGGAAGCCACAGTGCCCCATCAGATATCTTAAAGAAGTGATATCTTTAAAGTTTTGTGGTGAAGATAGACTTCAGTACGGTGTTTCTCAACCTTAGCAACTTGAAGATGTCTGGACTTCAACTCCCAGAATTCCCCAGCCAGCGAGTGCTGGCTGGGGAATTCTGGGAGTTGAAGTCCGGACAGCTTCAAGTTGCCAAGGTTGAGAGACACTGCTTTAGTACATGTTTTTTCAACGTGGCAACTTTTAAGATAGGTGGACTTCAAGGTCCAGAACTCCACAGCCAGCATGCGCGTATTCCAGCTTCCAGAATTGGTGACCGGAAGATTCAGGAGCTGAAATCCATCCATGATAGATGGAGTAAGAAGAAGGCTCATGATAGGAGATACACTGAATTGTTTGTGTAGCACACATGTATTGCCATTTGTGTCCTTGCTCTCTTGTGATCTCTTTCTCTCCAAACTCTGCAAATCCCTTTCTCTCCAAACTGTGACGGCAACAGGGATCGCGTAGCTGAGGGACACTGAGGAGGTTGTAAAGTTCTTTTTCCGAGCCCGATTGGTAACATTGAAAAGTCGTTGAACCTGGCAGTTACTAAGGGGGGAATACTTTCACTATTGAGCCCCTTTTTCCTCAGGAGGGGAAAGAACCGTAGGTAGAATCCATGCCTGCTCACTAGTTTAGTTTAGTTTAGTTTTATTATTATTTATAGGCCGCCCTTTTCCCTGAGGGGACTCAGGGCGGCTTACAAAATATAGGGAGGGGGGTACAACACAAAAAACATAAAACAATACATAAGTAAAAAGTACACAACATTCATTCATCATTCGGGTGGGGACAGATTNGTAGGTAGTAATTCAAGGGAAAAATTAAAGGTAGCAAAGGCTACAGGTAGGGTATGTCAAATGCTCCTGCCTTTTGAAGAAGCACCTTTGAAACTGGTAGGTAGTAATTCAAGGGAAAAATTAAAGGTAGCAAAGGCTACAGGTAGGGTATGTCAAATGCTCCTGCCTTTTGAAGAAGCACCTTTGAAACTGGTAGGTAGTAATTCAAGGGAAAAATTAAAGGTAGCAAAGGCTACAGGTAGGGTATGTCAAATGCTCCTGCCTTTGAAGAAGCATTTCCTATTTCAAGAGCCACTTAGCCTGTCTGCTTTTAAAGATCTGGGTTCCCTCCCCCGAAGTATGTTTTTTCCCAAGTGTGTGGGAGTAGGTGACCTGCTAAGTAAGATTCTCCAGCACTTATGTATCTCTATAGAGTTACTTTGCGCTGGGGGGGCGGGCGGGGGGGGGGAATCCGAACAAGCAGATAAAAGATGGCACATGTTACAATGGATGCTACCTTCAACCTTTGGGTTGTTATTTAAAACCCACATTTCTATTTATCTACATGTCTATTTCTAGATAGAAAGGTAAAAATTGATAGGCCAAGTCAGAGAATTTTGCAAGAAGAAAGAATTTGCAAGTATGCAAAGGGAATAGAAGGTTATAGAAAAAGCAAGTGGCAGTAATGCTAAGGATATCTGCCCCCACCCCCTTTTTCCCTGGCACATCCAGCAAGCCCAGTTTGGATGAGATGATTAGCTCTATTGATGTAGCCAGTTATCCTGTGATGTAATTAACACCAAGTAGTCATCTATCTATCTTTGCCTCTGCTGTTGCCATAGCTACACCCTTTCAGTATGGGGTGATGGACTGTTGCAGTGTAAGAAAACTCATAAATGATTGGAATCATTTCTTTTGAACTGTGCCACAGGAAACTGAAATAAATGGCTACGAATAAATAAATTTAGAAACATGGCTGTCCGTGATCAATGTTCTCTCTTTGGAGAGAGACAAAGACAGAAGCGAGAGAAGCCACAAGTGCCTCTTGTACTGTTATCTTGTTCCTTCTGAAGCATCAGGAGAATGACTGCCATTGAAAATCTGGAATAAACACTTGAGGAAGAGCTGTAGGTACCATTCGAGTTGATACTCTACCTTCTTTTCTTTCTAATCACATCCTGGATACTCACAAGCAAATTGAACCAGGCTACATTCATTAGAAAGGTTATTTACATCAAAGTTTCAAGGACTAATATGACACACATCAATATCCAAGAATGAATGAATGGTGTCTATAAAATTGGCACTTGTTTCCTTCTATTCTTGTGGGCCTGACACACTCCAATGGACTCAGACAGGGGCCAACAAGTGTTCATGGTTGTATTCTTTCTTCTCTCCCACATTTTGCAGGTAGCACAGTTTTCCTTTCTTTTTATCAACAATTGCCAATGTCTATTTCCTGCCTACATTTCTGACCTCACAAGAAATTTCTTCTCCCCTTTGTCTATTCTTTCTTTTCTTTTTTTCTTTTCACTCTCCAAACTATCTGAGTCCAGATTGTCCAATCAGTCCTTTATTGGATTGGATTTATTAGATTTCTATGCCGCCCTTTTCCCCGAAGGGGACTCAGGGCGGCTCACAACNCTCAGTGTGAAATAATGAGTGACAGTTGTCACAGCACATGGTGCAACTTTTTTCAACAAGAGCCATGAATTCAAATGAATCTCGAGATTCTGGACCAGTTCCTCTGGGAAAGCAAGACACTGCTATCACTATCCTTGACAACAAAGATGAATTGTTGGTTCCAGGTGCTTTTAGAATAAACAACTAATCTACTTTACTGGGATTAAATTTGAGTTTGTTTTGCTCTATTCAGATCATAAGAGAATATCAGGTCAGCTACTCTACAGCATCTCCTGCTGGGCAGGGAGTACAGCAGTATTACTGGACCATCAGCATATTGGTGAAATGTCATCAAAAACTGACAGATGATTCCATGGTTATATAAAACAGGAAGAAGGAAAAAGTCAAATTCTTTAGAATAGCTAGCAAGGATTCGACTTCTCTCTCTTCTACCAAATGGACTTGTTCACTCAGGAAGGAGCAGACGTATTGTCATTCCTTAGTTGTTGCAGGAGGTCCAGAAGGCTACCATGATCACTGGTATGGAGTACTATAGAGAGGCAGGAGTGGGCTTCAAAAATTGCAGCAACAGGTTCGCTGCCTCGTTGCTGGGTGGATGTGGCTATGGTGGCGTTTTTTGCCCTTCCCAGGCTCTGGAGGCTTTCCTCAAGCCTCTGGGAGGATGAAAACTGCTTTCCCTGGGCTCTGGAGACCCTCCAGAGTTTCCGGACCTCCAGAACTTCCGGTAGGCCCATTTTCCTCCCTCCCCAAGCCTCCACATGAGTCCTTCACTTACCACATGATGAAATGAGCCATGTGGAAACTCCTGGGATGGATGGGGTAGAAGGGCAGGATGGGCGTGGCCAGCCAGGGGTGGCATTTGGAGGTTCGCCAAACTGGCAGAATCCTAGCTAGAGAATCACCCGGACCCATGTGAACCCCCAGCAGCCCACCTCTGTAGAGAGATCTGTCAGGAGCAGAAGAGCCATACTCCCTCAATGCCAATCCCACCACGAGTCATCCACAAGACCAATGCTCTTTCAATCCACTTGGAACACCTTTGTGGCCTGTGTTCAAATAAGGTAGAATATGATTTCACTACATGCAATAATATACTGTATGTTTCTCACTTGGGTTCATAACCTCATTTGAATTTAAGCATGTAAGCTACTGATTAATATTTTCACGTCACCTTTCCTTGTCCTTTTTCTATGTCGGTATTTATGTCTTTATATCATACATACAGATTTTTGTTGCAAATTATAACTGCTTGCACTATTTTTTTAAAAACTTTTTTTCTTTTTTGCACTTGACCAGTGAATCATCACAGCTGACATCTGCTGTTTTAAGATGTCCTCTCTCTGAATATTTT